CATTACTAGTTAAACAGAAAATGGGAACTAGAGAGAGAAGAAAAAGACCAGGAAGTATGAGCTGAATATATTTTTCTTAATTTTTTATTGGCAATAAAAGTTTATCATTCAACTTGTGATTTATATTTCGGAGAGTGAATTTTATTTTCTGTTTCCCCATACAATACTTCTTTTTGGTTGAAATCGTTATTGACTGACTCTAATTTGATGGGAGGTCTAGTTTGGTCTTTGTCACAGCTTGGCTGCACACATGGCTCCTAGGCCTCACTTTCCTCATTTGTAGAACAAAGAGTTTTATGTCCTCCAGCGCGAAGGTGCTATGACTCTGTGAGGTAAGATTAGTCTTTCCTTAGATGGTTAGGAGATTGTTCCCCCCATCAATCTAGAAAGAAAGAAAATTTGTGCTGTCACAGCATTTTCTCTTCTTTTCCAACAAACCTTTTCAGTACATCTAAGTGCTTGTGACAAATACTTATTTTGTACATTATATTTAAGAGTGATATACAAATAAACAATGAAACAGAAATTCTACCACTTTTTATTTTCCATCACCTTGAGTATTTTTAAAGTGGCATGTTAAAATCTACTTTTCCCCCTATAAATTAATAATAAAAAAGCATGTCTATACATTATCATTCATGCATCCCTGGTCTTTCCATTAGTGATTTGTTTCAGTTTGAGATGGGTCTTTCATATTAAATAGTCTTCCATTAAAGTTGAAGTTAGTGTTATTAATACTAGTAGAGTTTTGCACTTACAGCATTATATTAGATATGAACAGTTTTCGTTGCCTCACCTGAAAATTGCTTTGGGAAAAAAGTAACAGTGACATGTACTGATAAACAGTGATAGAAACATCATCAAACTGAGACTTGGAAATAAAAATAGTGATCATTTACCAGGGACAGGCCCTGTCTCTAAAGCATTTTATATTTATTTAATTAATCTTCAAGACAACTACTGTTCTATCACAGACGAGGCACACAGAAAGTAAAGAATTTGCCCAACATCCCAAAGTAAGGAGTGGAGCGAGGACTCAAAGTCAGGTGCAGTGTGGCTCCAGAGTCTGTATTCTGAACCCCTGTGCCATGGTTCCTTCAGGAAATAGGGGTCGTAGTCCTACCCACCCACCTCCCTAGCTTTTCAACATTTTATGCAAGTTGACTTGGCTCTCTGTGCCTCTGTTTTCAACAGTAAACTCAGCAGAATAATAGTGTGTGACCTTTCTCATGAGAATGAAATGAAGAAAGACAGGGGAAGAAGTTTCAAAGAGTGAAGTAAATAATAAGTGTTCATTGTGCCCATTTATTATTATTATTGTTTATGCTTTTTGCAAAGTGTTTTATTTTGAATCTACTCGATATTAAAAATATCTTTAAAGAAAGGTGTTATAGAAATTGGATTTGATTTCATATCTCTATACATTGCAACAGGATATTAATGAAGAAACAAAACTTTAGGAAACTGTGGATTTAGTGCAATAGAGGATAAAAATTGAAGAAACAAATTGAAACTACCTTGAAGAAAAATGTTTTGAAATTCAGACTTAACATGAAAAATCATCTATCATATACCCTTACTCAAAAATCAATTTATAAATGTAAAGACAATAGAAACAAAAAGCAAGGAAATCCTTCAACAAAAAAATTAAGAGAACCAAGATGATGGGTATTATACTTTATATCTATCTCAGTGAATCGACATTCTACACCTAAGGCATGTTATTTTTACAGGTTTCCAACTTGGAAGTCATGCAGAAATTGATATATGGCTCCATTTATTAGAAGCACAGAGAGTCAAATTTAAGTTTCCCTTTACCCTTTCCTGCTATTTAGTTTAAAATAAAGAAAATCAAAGTTTTAAAGATGAGACAACAAAATAAAAAAGCTTGCATGGAAGATGTTTTTCCTTCTCTCTTCACAGGGAAAAATAAACAGGTTAATGAGGATTTGTCACTTAATTTTGAACACCTACATTTCTCTGAGGTCTGAGGGCAAATAAATTAGTATAGATTCTGAAGGAAGATAGAACTGGCCACCTCACCGGAATGCCTTTTGCCACTTCATCTTGGATTTTCTTTTTTGCCAAGAGACAATTCTGAGACATCTGTATCAGGTTATATTTATCTAGCTCAAGCAAAGTGTTGTTTCCTATAAGGTTATTAAAGATTTCTATAAGGCAAAGAAGTTTGGAGAGTTTTAAAATGACATGAACTCTTGACAAATACGGAGTGATTACATCAGAAATGTAAGTGGCTAAACTAAGAGAAGATGAGGTTTCCTGGAGTTTATATCCAAAGCATATCTTTGAGGCATGTCAACACTACTTACCCAGTTTTGCTTATGAAACATTTTAACACCTTTCTAGCTACATAGTGCAAAAGCAGCTTCTTTGTGAATTTTATTTTAGAGGAACATGGAAAAGCTCTGTGGAAGCTGGCAAGATATAAGTTTACTTAGAAATATAGACAAATATCACAGTAAGACTAAAAAAGGTGATAATCTGCTCTCCCTCTAGGGTTACTGTTTCGCTTGTACACCTGTCCATTCCCAACTTTCCAGTTGTTTTCTTTACTGAGATTAGGTATCCACCATTAACTTATTGGAGTGGTTAGAAGAAAGACATTTTGGCCAGAAGGATTCTGGACCTGGGAGACCCTGTTTCTTGCCATATCGAGGGAGTCCTATTCTACTATGAGACTCTAAGAACTTTGCAGTGAAGAAAGAGATAGATTTTTCTAGGTTAACTTAATCAGATTACAGTTGACTCTTCGTATTTGTGGGTTCTGCATCTGTGGATTCAACCACCTGCAGATAAAAAATAATTGGGCAAAAAACAATAAATAAAAATATAATATACAAATGTTTTAAAATTAGTATAATCTACTATAGTATAATACATGTGTAAATAGTTGTATTAGGTATTATAAGTAATCTAAAGCTGATTTAAAGTATACAGGAGGGTGTGTGTTGGTTATATGCAAATACTACACTTTTTTTAATCAGGGGTTTGAGCACTCATGGATTTAGTATCCACAGAGGTCCTAGAATCAGTCCTCTGTGGATACCAAGGGACATCTGTATTGCTTATAAAGTTGATTAGTTATTACAGATTTATTTTGGTTTTTAAAATGGTTTTCACTTTCAAGTTATACTTAATTCATATTTATTTATATTGTTGGAGGGCAATGCTGGTAGGAGAGGAAGACACTTATTTTTGGAAGTGGGATCATACATTTTATAACCTATTGCAGAGAGAGAAAATTTGTGGTGTTTTTAACCATTCTTTATTAAAACAAGTTTGAAGGGCAGCATCAATTTCAATAATTTCATGTAATTTCCATTTATTTTATTACCTAAAGGAGTTGAATTATATTAAATTTGCACTGCTATCAGTTTTATACTACCAAACACAATAGATTATGAAATGATTCTTTAAATGAAGTCCCTCTGTAGCTGGTGCCATAGTGATCATGGAGATCTCTGGATACCCACAATACTGTAGCACTATTATCCAAAATTTGTGTCCTAATATGTCAGTCCATAATGCTGTATGACAGACTGCTCTTATTTCTCTATACACCACTGTATTTTAAATTTAAAGACAGAAATGAACGCTAGATAAATTACTATGATTTAGGATCACTTCTACACTCCCCCCACCTTCCCAAAAGAAACCCCATAATATTTTATAAATCCAGGCGTGGCTTTAATTACAAGATCTACTTTTTTAAAGGAAATTATTCATGATTTTTAAAAATATCTAGCACACTTTCGACTTATTTCACCCCACCTAACCTTCAGGGTTTTGTATCTGTACCTGGTACCAACTGGTTAGCTTTCTGCCAAGACTGCCTTTAATACACTGTCAGTTCACTTCATGAGTCCCCGGGAACAGTTAAAGTTGATCCAACAGCCAGTTGTTCAAAGATTCTATTGAGAGTAGTTTATTTTATTCTTGAGCATCTGTAAAGATATGCTCCATTGCAAATTAAGCCTTTTTAATGACAGAGTAGATGATGACAGAACCTCATCAGCCTTATCAGGAGAAGTTCCCTGACCTCATTATTGCTAATGGATCCATGGTAATTCAGCCTGTTGTGAAATCTCATGTTCAATTATGCAGGATAATGAGTGACTCAAAACTTAATATGTCTCAGCTATCGTCCTTATGATAGGACTTGTACAGCTTCTTTCAAAAGTGAAACTAGGTTTTAAGTAGAATGGTTCACTTTTATGTCCAAACAGAAGTTATCACTAATATTCAGATGACCTGATTTTAAAATAAGACAGAATTACTCTATAACTTTATATTTCACTGATCCTTTTGTAGGAAAGTTAGGACAGGTTTATTCATTTTTAAGTGTTAATTCTGGAATTCTAAAAGTATGCAAATGGCATTTGTCTTTGGATTCACAAAAACTCTAGATATTCAGTTTGAATTATTTAAACTCCCACAACACATGCACTTTTGCTTTTCAAGCATGAGTTATAATTTAATTAAAAACTTCTGGTGCATTGCTAGCAGTTTAAATATTAATATGTTCCATGGATCACTTTCGATTATCTACTGTCTTGAAATTCTTGAAGATGTCAGATTTTTAAGATTCCCAAAGTTGCACTTGGAATTGTCTGTTGAGGCAAAGGGGACTGTGATAATTACACACATCCATTAGGATCAGCAGAGGAGATAAACTTTGGGGAGGCTTAATGGGCATGTCTCAGTGACAGCTAGCAAAGAGCATTTGGCATGATTAAGGATGGATTTGAATGCAGTTGAAAATATACTCTCATTATGGACACCCAGTGGAAGTTGCACTACCAATGTTAAATTCCCCAGAAGAAGAGTAGTGTGGCAGGGAAGCTTTGAAATCCACTGTGGCCATCAACCAAATTATTCTCTTTCCTTTATGTCTTTCTGCTGTCAAAATCACTTTGTGATGCCCAGTTCAACTCCCCACATCTCTGAAAAGAGGCAACCTGTTGATCTCTGTATTTCAGATTGTCCGAAGATACATTAAGGATTGGCTTGAGAGAAAGAAGCCTCCTTTTGGTGCTATCAGCAGCAGTGTACTCCTCATGATTATCTACACAACCTTCTGTGACACGTTCTCTAACCCAAATATTGACCTGGACAAATTCAGCCTTGTTCTCATACTGGTCATAAGTAAGTTGGAAAATGGGATAGCCTGGCTATCCTGCAGTCTCCTCAATAGCAACGCATAGCAATGTGTGTTCTCTAAATTCAGGTCTAGTGTTAATTTGACTAGAAATGAATGCTTAATTTTATATTACATTGACTCAGTGACTTTCTCATATGTATTTATTTTTTTAAGAAACAGTTTTACACTTATACCGTAATTTCCTTTGTTTTTGAGTCTGCTCCCCCATTTTCTGATTTACAGTCATTGATATCAGATGAGAGAAGCCTTAATTTCTGTCAGATGCAAATGTTAGACTGAGCACTGTGTCATCAGTTTAGTTTATTATAACTTTAAACTGATCTTACCCCTTATTGTGATTTAAAAACAGGATTTATAATATATGATATTATTATTCCTAGGTATAATAACTTGGTTGCATTGGTTAAAATGTGAATATTTACATCATATTTTCTAATAAAATTTACCCAAAATAATATAATTTCATTTTGAGAAGCAACAGACTACAAAATGCAGGAAACTGCTAAAGCTCAAAAAGCAACCTTTTGTTCTATTTATCCTGTAATCACAAAGACAACTGTTACTAATGTTGTAATAGCGAAGAATCTTCTGTTATTCTAAAGTATATTGTATGCTACTACATTTATGGTATTTGCTAGAAATATTCATAGTATAAACCAGCTCTTTCTAAATTGACCAAATTAAATAACCAAATCTTAAAGAGGCTTTAGGTTTTTTCTCGATAACAAAGAGTGTGTCTGGGGATATCATCAATAAGAACAGACTGAGTCTCACTACTTTAAGTGATTATTTCAATTTAGCAAGGTATGCTTGTTTGGTTTATTTGTTTGTTTTTCTTTTTCAGTTCCTATAAGTTTCAGATAAAACAAGTATACCAATAAGTACACTACAAATACTGCTTTTAGAGTGCTAATTTAGATTCAATCTTTTTTTCTCCTTCAGTATTTTCTATCCAGCTGAGTTTTATGCTTTTAACCTTCATCTTTTCAACAAGGTAAGTGATTTGGTATCTCTTGCTGTTGTTAGTTTTCTAAATAAGGAATCATGCTTTCTACTTGGTTATATGCCACTATGCACTTACATATTTTTTTTTCTACTATCTCCCTGACCATTCTGCCTCTCTTCTGCCACCCTCAAATTGTAGACATTAGAAAGGGTCTTTCCTTGGCCTTGTTTCATCTGTCTATATCGTGTGCTCAAGCAGGCCCTTCCTTTCTACTGGCTGGAGCTGTTAGCTTCATACTGATGATTTTCAAGTATACACCATTCACTGCAATGTTGTTTTTTTTTTTTTTTTTTGAGTTTGAACCCTATTTTTCAATTACCATTTAGATATCTTTACTTGACTGTCTTAACAAGACCTTAGACTCAAGATATTCAAAATGGAGTTAATGTTTTTCCCAAAAACTGCCTCTTTCTCTCTTCTTTCTTTCCTTATTTTTAGTGGAACCACCATCCTCAGAGTTCCTCAAACTGGAATCTTTCACATCATTATTTTTTAAATTTCTCGATCCTACTTCTATAATGTTCTTCCTGCTCCCAAGGCCACTTCCTTAATTCAGGTTCTCGTTCTGTTTCTCTCTAGGCTGTTTCAATGGCTATCTTACTGGTAATTCCATTTCTAGACCCAATTTTCATTATGCATTTCATGGTGCTTCCAATGACTAGAATTCTGATAATGGCTCTCTGGTTCAGATATTTTCAATGGTTATTCAGTGCCTGTAGAATGAAGTTTATTTTGGGGGACAAGGTCCTCCAGTCTATTTTCCAGTCTCATGAACCAATACTGTTGTTCATGCTGTCTAAGCTTTAGGTTGATGTAAAATCTTTGCTGCTCCCTGCAAGAACCTCATGCTTTCTCATTTCTTTCCCTTGCTTAGGCAGCTCCCATATCCAAATTCATCTCCATGTCCTGGTTCCTCCTTCCTGTTCCTAAAAGCTCACCTCAAATGCAAATTTTTTTCACCTTTATTATACATTACAAATATTACTCAAACTTTTGGTTAGAGAAAGTCACCAGGGGGATTGCCACAAGTAAGAGGTGATTTCAATCTTGCACTGATAACCAAGTGTCCTCTGCTTGGTACAGTAAGCCAAGCTGTATTCAATTCAAAGAAGAAGAACGCACTTCCCAAGAAAGTATAGAGCAAGGATTCGTGGAAATTATGGGGCGTGACCTGAGCCATGCAGAATGGCTAAATCTTCAGCCGTCAGAGATGCCAAGACGGAGTTCTTGGTGGGAGAAGATGCAATAATGCAAATGTGGACACATAAAAACAAGATATGGTGAGACAATAGTAGAGGAAGACTGGAAATAGTAATAGTAACTGAAAAGGTAGATTTGAGCCAGATTGCAAAACACGTGAACACCAGGCAGTACCAATGAGTAACCACAAGGGAAAGAGCCTATGCTGTTCGTAAGTCTTGAAAAAGCATCAGTGCACTGAATGGTGCAGGCCTCACATTAGGCACTTGGCTCTCACAGCACTTGGTATAGCACTGGGCTGATTGTAAACAGTCAATAAAAACTTATTGATTGATGTAATTTGAAGCATTTTCCCAAGCTTGAGGTTGTGATTTATGAAGTAAGAGTAAAGCCTGGAGCCGTTAAGTCACAGAGAAAATGTGACTTAATTGGGTAACTCTGAGAGCAGGAGCTATTTTAAAGTCCTTTTTGTAAATGGCTTGTTATATCACCTTAGAAAAGACATTTGCCTTTCAGTGGCAGTTTGTTTGCTGGTCCTTGTGGCAAAAGTGATAATCAGACCCACTCCTCCTATCAGATGAGGTGGGATGCAGATATCCTGCTAGTGACTGAAAATTTTCTTGACAAATAGAGCACAGAAGAGCATAGAACAGCCACTACTGGACTGCTAAAGGAGACGTGGGTGGCAGAGGTACGACACCTAGTTGAACTAAAATTGAGAATTTCCAGCACAGAGTAGACTGGACTTTCATAAGGCTCTGTGATTTTTAAATCCTTCTTTTCTTTCTTATTCTGCACTTACTGAGGTTCTTTCAAGGGGTTTGTTTTGTTTTGTTTTGTTTTGTTTTGTTTTGTTTTGTTTTGTGACACAGGGGCTTTCTTTGTCATCCAGGCTGGAATGCAGTGATGCCATCATAGCTTGCTGCAGCCTCAAACTCCTGGGCTCAAGTGATCCTCCCACCTCAGCCTCCCAAGTTAGCTGAGACTACATGCAAACACCACTATGCTTGGCTAACTTGTAATTTTTTTGTAGAGACAATCTCTTGCTATGTTGCCCAGGCTAGTCTTAAACTCCTGGACTCAAGTGATCCTTCCACCTTGGCCTCCCCAAAGTGCTGGGACTATAGGCGTGATTCACCATGACTAGCCATCTGTCAGGTATTTAACTTTCTTGATTGACAGTGAAACCTACACCTTCTTTGATAAACAACAGCATATAGAACTTCTGTAATCATGCTTCAGAGTAAAGGTTGCATAGCCACACAATATTCCATTATAATAAGGGAATTTTTCAATGAACATAATTTAAAAGATGGTTTTCATATTCTATTTTCATGCTTAGAAACCCTATAACTCCTAAGGATTTTATTGGAGGAATGAAAGATGTGAATATTTATTAAAACCTGCTCCATGGCAGGCATTCTCTTAGGGATTATACATGTTATTTCATGCAAGTGTGACAGCAAAAACTGTAGTACTATGAATTTTTACTGCTATTTTGGTAGTTGAGGACCCATGCTCAGAGCAGTTTAGTAACCTGCCTAAAATAGTTTAGTAATGTAACCAAAATCAGATAGAAAGTAGGACAGCTAGAATTGACATCCATTTCCATTTGACATTTCCAAAAGTGTTTGCCCAGGCCTTTTCCACTGGAAACTATTTCAATTACTTTTTTTTATTATTAAGATTGTACTTTAAGTTCTGGGTACATGTGCAGAACGTGCAGGTTTGTTACGTAGGTATACATGTGCCATTGTGGTTTGCTGCACCCATCAGCTCGTCATCTAGGTTTTAAACCCTGCATTGTCCTAATGCCCTCCCTACCCTTCCCCTCCAACCCCCAAAAGGCCCTGGTGTGTGATGTTCCCCTCCCTGTGTCCATGAGTTCTCATTGTTCAACTCCTGATAATGAGTGAGAACATGTGGTGTTTGAATACTTGTTTTCATTAGGGAATTTGTAAAAAGTATTTGACTACACTCTTCAAGTTCATACACTAACAAGTTAATCAAAGATACCAGGACCTACTGGTTGACACTCTGCCGAGTTCCGTTTTCTTTTCCTACTTTTTGTTCCTTCCTGCAGAGGGCAGTTAGTGAAACTGTATATGTGTGTGTGTGCACACATGCACTTTTCTTTCTTTCTTTTCAGTTTTCTCTTACCAATTCAGTAAATCTAAAGCCAATTTGGATATCAAAAGACAAAATTCTCAGCATGAAAATCCATCTGTCTTTTGTGTGTGTCTGTGTAGCATGCTACTATACTCTGATGATGGACGTTTAGCATAAAACCAGGAGATACCTAGCCTAGAAAATTCAGCTTGCCTGCAATACGCTGCTTACCTGGTTAGCATTTCTTGGATTTACCAACTGAACGTGTTAACCATGCTAGTGAGTGTTTAAAATAGATTTGAGAGTTATTACTCTGTGTTCTTGTTTATTAATCTACAGAATAGTGTCAGAGTTAAAAATTCAAACTCTGGAATCAAACAGACTTGAGCTTCAGATCTACTTCATAACTTTGTTACTTTTGTCAGTTTCCTTATGTGTAAAATGGAGGTAGTAGTAGCACCTATCTCACAGGATTATTTGGAAAATTAAATAGTGTGCACATAAAGTCCTCAGCATAATACTAGCATATAGCAAGTGCTCAATAAATGTTGGCTACTACAGAATATTTATTACACCGAACCAACTTATATTATATTGAAAACTAATGATCAGGCCAGACACAGTGGTTCACACCTGTAATCCCAGAACTTTGGGAAGCCAAGGCAGGTGGATCACTTGAGATCAGGAGTTTAAGACCAGCCTGACCAACATGGCAAAATCTCATCTCTACTAAAAATACAAAAATTAGCCCAGAGTGATGACATGTTCCTGTAGTCCCAGCTACTCCAGAGGCTAAGACAGGAGAATTGCTTGAAACCCAGGATGCGCAGGTTGCAGTGAGCTGAGATCACACCACTGCACTCCAGCCTGGGTGACAGAGTGAGACTTGTTGTCTCAAAACAAACAAAAAAACAACTAATGATCAGAGTCGGGGCATTAGCTTTGCTAGCTTTGTAATACATTATTTTTAAATTTTCTCTGTCTCAACTGCTAGGAAATGAGTTGATTCATCAAGCCAAGAGTCAGCTATCCAATGACCTAACCATTCTGCAACTTTGGGAAACTGCAAATTAAAAAAAAAAAAAAATGTTGGAAAAGCTTAGAAAAGGAAAGCAGTAACTGGGAATTTTTTAAAATATATAAAAAGTTTGATAGCCTGATAACTAGAGTAACAGAAAACTATATTGTCATTAGAGTGACCAAAGAAACTGTTAATAAAAGAAAACAAATATTCAAATATTAGTGTATGTGTTTTAATTCTGATCAGTACATTTCCAGTAAGATATCTCAATCTGCCTTTCACAATAGCCCTGGGAGAAGCAGTATGGGAGAGGGAGGGGGAGAGGGGGAAAGGGAAGCAGGGAAGGAAGATGGGCACCATCATTAATGGTGAGTTTCCTTACCATTTCAGAGGAAGCCACTAAGCTTTGGCACCCTGAGTAAACTTGTTCGGTGCTACACAGATAAAAACAGAAGAAGTCTTCTCTGAAAAGAGCAGAGACAAAACACAGGTACAGAAGTTAACAAAGGAGAAGCTTCACATGGAAGTTTTCTCCTCTGAAAATAGTGGGTTTAAACAGAAGTATCTCAAAGGACCTTTTCTGCTCCGCATTCTGTGATTCTACTAGTAAAACCTGACATGTTTTCCTTTGTGGGTACTGCAAAGGAAGGCGAAGTAA